GGGTTCGTGGCAGACCTCCCTAGCGTCCAGACCAGGAGCCCCCCCCCCCCCCCCGCCCCGCCGCCCGCCCCCCCCCCCCCCCGCCCCCCCCCCCCCCCCCCCCTTTTGAAACCCCCAAAGCCCCCCCCCCCCCAATGGCTTGGGCGAAAACAAAAACCAGGGGCAGGAAGTGCTAACTGGAGGGTGCTGATGGCTTGTCTCCTGCTCTGTTTTTTGAGGAACCCGCATGAGCCCGAAAGCAAAGACCGCGTGGAGACCCTCAGGTGAGACGCAGCCAGGGCTGGCGGGGGCGGCTTCCCACCCACTCGGGTCCACTCGGGTCCGAGTGGGTCCACTCGGTCTGTTTCTCTAGCAGGGCCAGGCTGCTCCTTGGCACCTACCTCCATTCTTACACCTCTTCCTTGCCCTGACCTCTTTCTCTCTCTTTTCCTCCTCCTCCTCCTCCTCCCCCCCTTTAGTCTAGCATTGATGATGTTACCTAGTTTGGTAATGAAATGTCTGCAAGAAAATAACTACACTCGGAGAGCGCCTCAGAGTCTTCCTCCTCCGCCGCCAGTCTAGCACTGATGATATTACCTTGTAGGGTAATTAAATGTCCGCAAGAAAAGAACCGCGCTCAGAGAACCCCAGGACACCACAATCATCCTCCTCTTCCTCCTCCCACCTCCTCTAGCACTGATGAGGTTACCCAGTTTGGTAATAAAACATCTGCCAGAAAATAACCACCCTTGGAGAACACTAAGGACCTTGCAGTCCTCCTCTTCCTCCTCCAAACCCCCACCTCTAGTCTAGCACTGATGATGTTACCTAGTTGGGTCACGAAACGTCTGCAAGAAAAACGACTCTGCTTAGAGAGCACCAAGGACCCCACAGTTGTTCCTCCTTCTCTTCTAATTCTTTTTCTTTTCATCTCTCCTCTTCCCCCCCCCCCCCCCCCCCGGCCTTCTGGGTCACCTTCTCGTCCCGGGTTTGCCCGGGGCCACCCCCCCGGTCCCGGCGGGGGGGGGGGGGGGGGGGGAGAAGAATTCCTCCTCCCTCCTCACCCTTTTCCCTTTCTCCTCTCCCCCTCCCCTCCCCCCCGGCAGGCCTCACATGATGGGTAGCGGCGGTGGCGGGGGCGAGAAAGACCGGGACGAGAACCGGGACGCCAAGCCGCGGTCGCTGCGCTTCACCTGGAGCATGAAGACGACCAGCTCCATGGAGCCCAACGAGATGATGAAGGAGATCCGGAAGGTGCTGGATGCGAACAGTTGCCAGTGCGAGCTGCAGGAAAAGTACAT